ACATTCCTCCCTATTTTTATGGTTACTACTTTTACAGTTCTTTTTTTTGGAGTTGGTATTTTTATATGTTTGATTGCTATCTTTAAAGTACCTTATCAAATTTATGGCTCTGTGCTGTTACCTTTTGAGCTTTGCAAACTGTTCACATAATAATTATAAAGTTACTTTGTTTCCAATGCATCAAACGTAAATGATGTGATTGTTTTTCTATTATTTGACCTTAATGACAATGCTCTATTTTGCTTGTCCTGGACTTATATTGCTTTTGGTGTTTTGTATTATGTGTCCAGGATAAGCTAATTAATTCTCTACCATATATAACTTCTGAACATATATGGCATCTTAATTCTTTGTAGATATGGAGATATGTACAGAACCATATTCTAAAGTCCCAAAATGGGGCTATGAAAGGGGACAGATGGATGGGCAAAGAATAGTTTTGTTTATCATATTAGATCATAGTTCTTGATTAGTTTTTTTAGTTAAAGATCACACATAGGGTGTGATTTCTATATCAGAGACATGCTTATTTCAGTATTAGAAAAATATTTTTCTTACACATCCTGAAAATTGCAATTTTTAAAATGTGCAAAATGCTTACTGAAAGCAAACAATAAAAGTTTAAAAATTTAAAAAATAGAATGTCCTCTTGAATGACATTAGGAACAATAATTTCATTAAAATTATACCTATAATTGATACACCATTTTCAGCAATACAGTTATTATAAAAACAAACTAGCTTAACTAGATCACAAGACATTTGTGAACATTAGAAAACAATGTAAAAGGTGGCAGTTTCAGATTAAATATTGGCAGATGAACATGATTAACTTTGAAAAACAGTAACCTATTTGCTTTTTAAAAATTAGCAATAAAACAAACTTGTTATGCCATTAAAGTTATTTAAAATTGCTATAATGGCCAATTTCTTCAACTTTACCACTATACAGTACTATTTATCATATTTTGCATAAATATTTTCCTATATTCAGATTATTTCCCTAAGTGTGTCTTAGAAATAAAATTACTAGGTTATGAAGCACAAATGTTTTAAAGGCTTTTAACGTAAATTTAGTTGACCTTTTCAAAAATTATCATCAATTTATATTTCCACCATCACATAAGGGCATTCATCTTAACGCCTCAGGTTTTCAGTTTTATGATAATTTAAGATTGCTTATTTGATGAGTAAAAACCAGCATTTCACTATTAACTGTACTTGACAGTACTCAGCACTACTGGCTGTCTCCTATCCCCAGCCTCACTGTTGCAAATTTAAAGTAGGTACAGAAGTAGAGGTATTTGGGCAGAGAAAGAAAGAGAGGAAAAAGTGAGGTAAGACTGAACAGCTGGAATTATCAGTAACTTTTACTCAACATCTCTTTTCCTCAGTCCTCAGGACTACAGAAGCAGTTCACATTTTACAGATCAAACGGACCACGTACACGTTCTTTCCACTGCAAACTGTCCTTTCTCCACTAGAAGGTAAAATAGTTCTTGTTCATACTCTGGTTTCCTCCCAAGCATTGGCACAAGGAAGAAAAGAAAAATGGGACACGGTCAGCTGTATAATTTATGGTTCTAAGAAGCTCCCTCTTTAATATTTCTGCTGCACTTTGTTGGTACCTTCATGATAAACAAAAGTTCCGTTAAAATAAATCACTTATTTTTGTCCCACATTGTAATTGTCTGTTTAGGTATCGGTTTCTCCAAATGAATTGTATCAACTTGAGGGCAGACACTTAATCACATCTTATTCTCTCGATCCCCATCATTGCATAACCAGAAAGAGCACATAAAAGCGTTATTCAATGGTAAGTACAAAGCGTTAGCTTTGTGCACCTTACAGTAGTTGGTCTAACCACTTATTAGCTTCCTACTTAAATAGATCATACCCTCATGTGTTAGATAATGTTAAATTAGACCAGAGGATTGGGGAAAAAAAGATCCTTATCTTAAATGAGACTATAACCTACTAAACTGTGGTAGAACTAAGATGAAATATTAAAGTAATATTTCAAGGAGTATTTACTAACCCATGTAATGTCCATAAGTGATATGCTTGAGATGCATAATTTTGCTAACAAAATATCGTGAATTGTAATTATTAAATATCTCTAACAATTACTGCAATCCTCGTGCCCCAGTAGAGCTGGGCAAAATTTCTAAGATATAAACACATTATTAAAATCACAACAAAACAAATAAAACTACCCTTATAAATCTCTGTAATTTCGTGTTGTCAAAAAATCATATGTATATTGCTGAGAAGCCTTTAAAAATAATAGGCCAGTAATATTATGAAATAATTATCCAAATGCACCCTCTAGTGGCTAAAAAGCAATTCACATACAGGCTAAGTAAAACTGTGTTTAAAATAAGGAGCATTGAGTAACATTTAACTGAAATTTTTCTAAATGAAAATAAAAATTATTGTGGCTTTAATTTCTCCACAGTTCTATTTAATAAAACAGTCATTTGAAAAAAATCAACCTATCTCAATACTAAAAAATACTTACCATGTAAAATACATACACATTTAATTAAAATAAATACCCAAGCATTGTGATGATTCTTTGTTATCTGTGTGTTCTAGTATTTTTTCATCTCCAGAGTTTCTACTCATGGTTAAGTGTTCACCTTTAACCTAAGGAAAAAATTAAACATGTCTACTCTGAAATTTTCACTAAATTCCTTTTTAATTTTCAATATGATGGTCTAAAATACTAAATATTCATCACAGATAACTTTTGCCATTAAACTGTATAGTTCTTAACTAGAAACGTCGATGTTTCCTATTAACCTTGACATCACAAACGTTTGTGACTGTTAAATATATTGTCTATGAAAATAATGCCTTAAAATACTTGTAACAAAAACATTTCTAATACTTTGATGTCAGAAAACACTTCAATAAAAAGGTAACACATTTTAAAAAGCTAATGGCATAATACAGCCAATGAAGAGCTTTTTATTTGTAAAAATCTGTATTTTTGATTTCAAATATTTATATTTCGTTGGGTTCCTATCTTTCTATGTATGACTAAAAGACATCAGTGAATACGAACTAGCATTTTTATGCTTCATGTCTTTATTGAATAGGTTTAAATATGAAGACATTATTGGTGAGAAAACAAAAAAAAACAAACATATAGTGGACAAGAAATAAGTCACCACAATCATCTTACTTTTTCAACCTAACACATTTCAGAATACACAAGCAATTTTTACACTTTTAATCTTACAATCATCTTTTATTCTACCATAGTGTCAAATACTTGTGAAAATAAATAAAAATAAAATACATGATGCACAGGAAGTTTTTTTTTAAACTGAACTATTGCACAAATCAGTGTGAGAATATGCAAGTAATGTAAAAATGCATTTAAATATATTGTCACAACATATTT